TAAAGGGCAATGTCGTTGCCCATTCACATGCGTGCAGTTATACACTGACTAGCTCATTGGGGGACAAGCATAAATATGAAAACATTTAGTAAAACAAGCCTTGTCGTCAAAAGCTACTTCAGACCCTCTAAGTTTTGTCCTGCAAAGCCCATGATTAAGAGTAAAGGAGATAGTTGTCTCCATTTTGTCAAGTACTGAATTCACCGTCATAGTAACTGCTGGAATGCAACATTATTGCATTACTGAATCTCATGGTAAGGAGATTCCAAAATCCACTGCATAGAAAAAGCGATAGAAATATAAATTTAATTGAATGACTAGATGTACTGTTGCTAGGGGAAAAAGAAATGTACCTTTGCTAACTGGCCATCCAGGGGAAATCATAAAACAATTATAGCTACTGTGGAGTAATTTAGGAGACTGAAGGGAAGTGATTAACAGGGCTTCATCTAATATAGGCAAGTACGCTCTGCTTCCTTAGTTATATCCCTTGCCTCCGATGGATCATTGTGAACAAAATAGAAGGGTCTCCTTGGAGCTTATGTGTTCACTAGTCCTCTGATTTTCAAGCAAACTAAGTTCTGTATTTTCTGATGCCACTGCCAATCAATTGCCAAACTGATACTGAATCAGTGAATAGCCCATATTTACAGCCCTCAGGAGATCCAGACACACTAGAAGTAGATGAGCTTTAGAAATTTAACACAATGTGTAAGATATCAGGGTAGCTGGCGTGTAACTACCATTTGCAAATCAAAACAGTTTGCTTTAATGTGACTGGTAAGGTTAGCATTACAACTGTGGAGAAAAATGCTTCATAAAGTAATATGCAGGTAGGTCCTATGCTTCTATATGTGTTGGAATTCTCATTGCTACTGTCAATCAAGTCTTCCCAAGATGTACCTATAGACAATGAAAAACTGACTTTTATATTTTGTGTTCATAATTTAGTCAATAAAACTATCTCAAAAAAATATATATATAGTGCATAACAATGGGTCCAAGTGTAAAACTCAATTATAAATTATCTTGTTAAACTACAGATATAACTGTGCTACAGGTCAAGTCATACAATTAGTGGAAAACTAGGAATCTAAAAATAAAGATCTTTAATAAAGTTTTCTTGCCTCCTTTAACACAAAGTTTTCTTGCCTTTTTTAACACGAAATTAATATTTTATATGGGTCCCATTAAAAGCATTTGCATATGTAGGGGTATAGAGGTAATATAAAAACACAATGCCCAAGAAATATATTTAAACTCTCAGTTTTTCATATTCTGATAAGTGTAGCCTTTCCTTTTAACATTTCTATGAGAAGCTGAAGCAGAAGCCAAAATGAGCAGTTCTACTTCATGATAAGAACTGAAGCACTGAACCGAGAGAATACAGTCGGCCCTGCAGACCCTGCGGAGCATGTGCGGTGGTCCCCTGAGAGCCGGGCAGCAGAAGCAGCCTCCAGGTGTGTCACAGTCCTACCTGTCCGTAACCCACTTCCGCGCCAGCTCCAAGCTCTGTGAGAAGAGCCTGGTAACTCACGGGCCGGTCTTTTCTTTATCTCTGGAAAGTTTAAGTAGCGCCTTGGCTCCAGATAAAGCCCAGGGCATCACAAGCCAGCGAGTTGGAAGTAAGATGCATCCTGGGCAGTCCCGTGGGAGCCGGCAGCCCAGCAGTGACGCTAAATCGGCTGCCTTGACCTTCATAACTAGCGGCTGCTGCTATTGGTGAATTTCTTCTCTCTGTTTCGAAGGAGCCTACTAGTTAGTAACAGACTGATAAATCGCATTTGTAAATACCGGGTGTAGATCAAGGCAGGCTGCTGAATGCTTATGTTACCTCCGTGTAGTCTTTCACCAAGAAAGCAAAGCTGCAGTACATGGTAAAGCTTCTCATTTTTATTTGGATGCTCAGTGAACAAAACAGCTGCAGAATAATGCTGCCTAGTGAGGCATCTCTAACCAACTACCACAAGAATGAAAAGTAGGGCCACCAAGATGCTGGCCCTCTGATTGCTTCAGCTTTTCGAGTGCTGTAGAAGCAACCAGGACACTCTGGAAAGCTCCTCGTTCGGGACACCATTACAAATCTTATTAGTAAGTCTTCAGCAGTTTTGCAATTACTCCTCAACTTGAACGTGCTCTAACAGTATTGGATTTTGAGGGTCATGGTAAGAAATGCCGAATAAGTGCTGGCAAGCCACAGGTTACCCTTCACATACAGGATAATCCATAAGATTCAGCTGGCAATAAATCAACCTTAAAACGCACTTTGTACATTTCTATATGAAAAATGCCATCAAAACACTGTATTGTAGGTATTAAGTCCAGGACTACTAAATCTTCTTGGGTTTTTTTTTTTTTTCTTGATGCTGTTGTTTATTTCGTGTTCATAGTACATTGTTTTCAAAGGCAACTAAAATATAAACTGGAAAGTAAACTCAAGAGGAAATATCATTGAAGTTTTTTAAATCTTTTTTTCTTCCTTTAAGCCCAATTAAACATGTACAACCACACTTAAGAGGTTATGAAGCAAAACTGTATTTTTTTTTCATATGACAAAGGAAGAATGGAGCCTAACATCAAAGTGAATAAAATAATTTCTCAAAAATGTTATATCACCCCAAAGTTCCATTGCCTCATCAATTTTTAAAAAGGGGAAAGTGGCTATGTCTAAAAATAGGCCTTTCTCTACAGCCACGCCATCACATTTTCCAAGCTGGTGGTTAGCAAGCACTGTGATGCTGGTGACAGGGTGTGTAAGCACAGCGTGTCCGCCTTGACTTGAGTCCACGAGCATCCTTACTCTCGCAGCAAACGTCCTCCTGATCAAAATCCCACGTGCGTGCACACACATGCTCGGAGCCCCGGAGTTCTCTCCAGCATAACTTGTAGCACCGCATAGGTATTCCCTTTGACACAAAGGCTTCCTGACTCCTGTTTAAGAAGCATGAATCTGCTAGAGCTCCATGTGAGAGTGAAGCTGAGCATAATAAGCTACTGTCTTTAACGGCAAGAAAATAACCAGGACTTCCATCAGTTTTTTCAGACTTTTGAATGCCATTTTCAATGAAGCAACACTAAAAGGATTTGCCTCTTACAAGGCTCCTCATGCCTAAGCGCTGGGCTGGCAGTACAGTTCTCAAAGCCTTAAGCATATAAATAATACAACCCAGTTGTTTGCACTGGAAGTTGGGGGAATTAGAATGAAATGAGCTTCAGTGTGGCTGCTGATGGCCTGTAAGTGGCTGCTGATGGCTTTTAAAATTAAGACTCTAAAAAGGTCAAGATCCAAACAATTGACTAGAGAGATCCAGAGCAGCGTGAAGTAGGGAAAGAGACAAGTATGTCAGATCTGTTATTGAAAATGCCCAACCTTAGCTGCCGATTGTGAAATCGTGAAGGACTCTACCAGACTGGGCATTCATGTGCAGACATGGAAAGGGTGAATACAGTATCCCTCATGCTTCGTTTTTTTGTTTTTTGTTTTTTTTTTAAGCGTTAAATGTATTTTTTAATCTTCTTTGCCAGTAATCTCCTCTATTCACATGGAAACCTTAAATTAATTACTCGATTGTCTTAAGTTACCTCGCATAACAGAGCAGTTTAGAGGTGCCACGAGGTAACAGTCTGAAGGGTGGTGTCTGAAACAACCTGCCTGGGCAGACGGGGACCAGATAATTGACAGTCACTGAAATTCACCCTGTCCTGAGAAGGACACTGAATGATTGGGGGGGGGGGATGCTCCTCAGAGTGAAAAAAAAATGCTTAGGTTTGGAGACCGAGATGAGCTTTTGTTTGTTTTTACAGCCACGGAGGACTTTGATACTCAAGAGGAGATCTCACAATTACGAAAGGCGGGTGTTTTACCGAACTCTGCCGTACTGGCAAAGCAAACACGTAGGAGAGGCTGGTCGCTGTCGGTTCCAAAGGCTCCAGGCTTAACGCTGGCCACGCAGTGGAACACTGAAGCACGGTCTCCCGCAAGGGCTCTTAGAAAGCATGCGGTGTCTCCTCCAGTGGACACCCCATGGCCCAGCCCACAGCTCCAGAAGAAACGGGGCGACCGACCTCAAACTTTGCCTTTGCAAGAGCAGCTTCTGGAAATGTGGTAGTACAGACTGATAGCAACCAGCCGTCCTCCGCTCAAGGAAAACACCTCCTTGGTGGCCACCTAGCCTTTCCTAGGAGGAGGGGGCAGCAGAGCAGGTGGCCAGAAAAACCTGTGCTGCTGGCAAGATGTGGAAGACATCTGCCCAGAAAGAAATCAGGAGCCATTAGTTTCTCTCTAGAGCTGTGCTTTTTTATTTTATTTTATTTTATTTTTCCCCAGACCGCTGTTCATTAAATGATACTTTACAAAAGCTGTTTCACTCGGTAATAACGAGTCTGTTCCCAGACCTAAAGGAACCTCTGAGCCCGTGAGGATCCGGAACTTAAGGTGATTCTTTATGAGAATAGTTAGAGGTGGGGGAGATCCAGGCTCACGGAAACGCCCACCCTCTGCAGACAGGCCTGAGAATTAACTAGTCAGAAGTGGACAGAAAGTAGGCATTCCAGCCAGGCGACCCGCCGCGGTCCGTGCACCCTCGGTCCTCACTGAGTGAGACCCCAGACTCCTTACGAAAAAAGTCTCAGAGGCTCACCAGCCCCAGCTGGTGAGGGATCCAACTAGACCCCACTTCGGTCCTCCCCTGGGTCTCTCACCTTCTGAAATGAGAGAGGGAGGACCCTGCTCCCTAAGCCTCTGTCTCCCACCGGCTGTCCCTCCTCCCTGGCCTGTCCTCACCGGCTGCGGAGGGGTTGTGGGGTTGGGCGGGGGGGGGGGGGGTGCGGGACCGCATCTACCCCCACCTTGGCCTCCTGGGGCGAGCCCGTTTCTGCCCCGGCCCGGAAGAAGCCAAGGGAAGGGATGTGCCCAGGCGGGCTGCGGGGACGCTTGGTCCTCGCGTGGCCACTGAGGTCCCCCAAGCCCGGAGACTCCCGAAGGCGCGCCTCGCACCTACCTGCAGCCGGGCGTCCCGGTGGCGGCAGCACCTAGCGATGGTCCTGTAGCTTCCGCGGGCCGACGCCAGCCTCACCGCTCATGCATCGCTTCCGAGATGCCGGTCCGCTGGCACCATCCAGGGGCATAGGGACCCCAAGTCCGCCGGTGTGCGCCCGCGGGGGGCGAGCGAGGGTGGCCCTGAGTGAGCGTGAGAACGCCGTCTCCTCCGAAGGCTGCAGGGGGCTCGGGGGGTCCTCCGCGGGCGAGCTGGGGTCCCCTCCCCGGAGCGAGCGGGAGGTGCGGCACGCGCGAGGCCGGTCCCCGCTCCGCCGCCCGTTACCCCACCGTGTCAAAGTAACCGAAAGGTCTGAAGACCGGAGGGGCGAGCCGGAGTCTCCGCAGCCCCCGGCGGCGCCCGCGGGCGCCCGCTGTCCCCGGCGATGCGCGCGGTGCGCCCCGCTCCCACGGCTGCGAGGATCCAGGCGGGCTCCGGCCCCCGCGGCTGCTAGTCCATCTCCGGTTTGTTTGCTTTTGGCGGCGAGCGCAGACTTTTCCTCTCGCCCCGCGTCGTCTCTCCCTTGCACACACACACACAGGCGCGCGCGCGCTCGCACGTCCCCTCTCCCGCCCTCCCCCGGCTTCTCTGGGGAAAGGCAATTGGAGGCGATGATTCACCTTCAGCAGAGCAGCCTCCTCCGTGCGCTCGCCGAGGTCCGCGGCTCTCCGCGGCGGACCGCTGGCGGGCAGGCTCGCGGGCTCGGCGCTCAGAGCGGCCCCCCGGGACGCGTCCGCGCTCCCGCAGCTCGCAGACGCGCGGGGCCCGCCGGTGCCCGCCCCGACACCAGCGCGCCGTCCACTCCAGCCCACTTAGCAGCAACTCCCGGCCGGCCGCGGCCCCTCGCGCCCGCCTTCAAGCGCAGCGGGTCGAGCTGCACCGCGCCCACCCGCTGCCACCCTGGGCATGCTGTACTCCAAGGAAGGGAACCCTCCGCTGTCCCCCAGTCACGAGTGCGCCCGCTCCTTCACCACCCTAGGAGGTGCGAGTTCCAGCAGCACCAGGCGCGAGCGAGCGAGCGAGCAGGTGTCGCCTGTGTCACTTCGCCAAAGGCGGGAGTGAGAAAGCACAGACCGAGGGGAGGGGCCCGAGGAAACAATCCAGATCAGCAGAAGCAAAAGAAGCCAAGAGCAACCAAGGCTCCCTCCTCCCTGAGCACCGCCGCGGGCGCTGTACTGTCAAAACACAACAGTGATTATGTTGGAAAGTCACCCCAAAGGGCAGAGCCCCGCTGGTCCACCCTAGACCCCTGCCCCGCTCAGCTGGCTGGCCTCCGCAGTGTGAGCGACGGGCCCGCCGTACAGAACACGGGGAAGGCAGGCAGAGAGAGGCTCTGACATCCAGGCGGAGTTCAGCGGTAAATTGGGACGACAGGACCGGGAGGCTTTGACTCCCTCTGTCTCCTTCCCGATTCTGTTAGCCCTGTTGAGAGCAAACCACCTTCCTGCAGAAAACCCACAGCAGAAGGCGGCACCGGGCGCTGCAAATGCTGGACTATGTCTCCCTCTAGCGGGAAATCTGGATTAGAACGGTTTGCAGGCCGTCGCTAAGACTCTACCAAATTTTTCCACAAATGAAAAAGGAAATACGATTTATCTCACAGGAGTTTGAATTCCTAAAATTTCCAAACTCTGACGTTTTTAAAGGTGATTTTTTCTATAAAATCCCCTGCCAGAATATTCATTGCTAAAAGAATATCCTGATGTTTACAGAAAGTTCCTAGCAGGACGCTAGAAGGTCATGTAAGGTTTGGCCAGGTTGGGTCTTGGTTTAAGCAGTGAACGTAAGATCTCGCACGAAAGGCCTTCTTAATTGTGCTTATAAATGAGAAAACTTTAAGCTAGTGGTTAGGATAGTATGAAAGATAAGAAAACAAAAGGCTTAGACACAAAGAAAAATGCTGACTCGGGAACCCATACCGACTCTTACTCGCGGATCCTGTCTCTAACTGACTGCTCTTGGGCAGCTAGGTTAATTTTTCAAGCTGGCTAAATTCTTTCCAGACCTAGGCTTTTGTGTTTTCATAGCCCCGAGTCGCTGAAAGATTAGCATAATTCTTTCCACCAGCTATAAACTAATACTTATTACCATATTTACAAAGAACTAGGAAATATGTTTTGGTTAGTGATTTTATGGTAACGTGCTCAATAATTTAGCCATATTTCCTATCCAAAGGGTTTCAGGTAATTAAACTAAGCTGGAAGGACTGTTTTAATAAGGCCTTCCTGCAGATTTTATACAAAGGTTTTGTTACCATCAGCCGCGATTGAGCGAGGTCCACCTGTAACTTTGCTACTTCGATTTTGTGAACCTTGTAATTTAATGGGAGGTTTTCCTTACACTTTTTGTATTTTTAATTATAAAAAGTATTAAGGTTATGATTAAGCCGGGTGGTGCAAATCTTTAATCCCAGTGCTCTGTATGTCAGAGGCAGGCAGATCGCTGATAGTTTGAGGCCAGCCTGATCTACAAAGCAGTCCAGGACAGCCAAGCCTACACAGAGAAACCCTGTACCGAAAAGAATCAAATAAATAAATGGGTAAACAGATAAGTAAATAAATGATAAAAATTTTTAAAGGTTATGATTAAACAATTTTGCCTTTATTTGAATTTTTGTAGTTATTCTGTTCTAACTTGAAACATGTACTTATTCCAGTCTTTTTTTAAAGGCAATGATTGCTTTTTAATTGAAAGTAACTGAGGCAATTTCAAATGGGAATCCAAAACAAAGTGATTTAGGGTTTTGAATTTTAATCGATTATACCACAGGTTTGAGACACCCTAGAGCACGGCAAAAGTTTGTTTCAAAGATACCTTCAAATAACCCCTTTCAAAAGACCAATGTCTACTGTGATTGGAGATTTTTGTTTTATCCCAATCATTTCCTCAGGGAACGGAGTGGGGGGTTGTTTTTTGTTTGTTTGTTTGTTTGTTTGTTTGTTTGTTTTGTTTTTAACCTGGCACTATTTCATTGCCAATCTTACAGTAACTTTCTGTGTGCCATGTTTGGCAGTCATAGAATCCAAGCAAGAATGATATTAAAACCTGGATTCCGCACTTCACGGGGAAAAAAAAAAATTAAATCACTTCAAAAGAGTGTCCTTCTTCATGGAGAGTATGAGGCATGCTGCATCCTCTTTCTAGTTTCTAATTCATAAGGGCCTTTTGTGGTTTCATGAAAACCTATCATTTCATCATATTCATTTCTGCTGCTAAGATACCTGCATACGAAAAAGCTGGTGCAAAGAATAAATGTACAAATTCAAAATAAAACAGAAGTCCTCGTCCAACACTAACAACGCTGAATTCCCTGGCACCTTTGTGCTCTCCGTAAACCTCCCAGCGAATAGATCCAAATAGTCTTGAGATCAAGGTGTTGCCATCAGGACTCTGAGGACTCTGGGAATTCACAGTCACATTCCTTCCAAAACAAAACGGTAGACACTCATCTACTTTAACAGAATTCTAGAGTTCATGATTTGCCATCTATTAAACTTTCTGCCTCCTTTACTCCACCACAAGGGGGGAAATTTTTTTTAAATGCTTAATTTAACTGAATTGCAATTCCATCATAAGTCACCACGTTCTTAGAACTTACAATGTCACTACTGCTTTCTTCTTTCTGCCTTTAAAACTGTTCTGCTGAAGTGCACCCGGCTGCAGTCACCTGCCAAAAGACTTATGTTGAATCTGAATCGTGCAGCGTGTCTTTTTTTTTCCCCATCAGCTTTTTCCATCCACATAATTTGCACGGAGATTCAACCCTGTTGCTGCAGCCACAGGTCAGACCCTCCTTATTTCTGCGTAGTAAAACTAAACCTCATTTGCCCTGCACCTCTTGTGTTATTTATGGTTTCGGCTTAAGACAAAGGCACTTAGGACATCTATGAAAGGATCTTTCACTGAGCGTATGTTTTCAGTTCTCATATGTTAGTGCCTAGAAATAGAATGGCTGTGTCTTACGGTGGAGTACACTTAAAAATGAACTTATTTAAGGTAGTGTATATGCCACCGCACATTCCCCTCTGCTATCGTAGAGATTTTAGAGGCACTTTAAGTGTCTAGTAGAAGGTTTATAGGCTATCTCAACCCCTCATCTCAAATCCTCACCACACCCCATAAAACAGATGAAGTGAACCTATTCCACCTGTGAACAAGATGAGGCGGTGGAGGGATTCAAACCAGACCTGCCAAATCAAAAGCCAGTAGTTGATATTAGTTTTTTATGTTTTTATTCACAGAGGCTTCCCGCACTGGCCCTTCCCCCAACCACTAAAAAAGTCTGTCTCCTACATCACAAGGACACTGACATGCAAGACACTGCTTCAAGAGAAGATTCTGAAACGTGAGACTGCAGACACCTTACTAAGAAAGACAGAAAGAGAAGCTGGTTCCAGCTCCCCTGTGTTTGTTCCTTCCCGGCATGATGCTATCTAAGGGAATGACTATAATTCAGGTTCCCAGTGAACTCAAAAAGAATGCAGCCTACAGCCCACATCTGCACCGCCTAGGCCTGCTCATCTCTGCTGTCTCCACTCTACTGCCATCTTTCTGATGATGCCTGATGAGTACCAGCCCTAAACCTCGCGCATGCTCACATAGTTCTTTTATCAGTGAGCCGCATTCCCCAGGTGTTTTCTTCCTTAGTGTTCTAGCAAAGCACAGCACTTGCCAATTTGCCCAGGATAATGATGATGTAGCCCAGTCAAGCTTCAGATATGATGTCTCTTCCTCAGCCTCTCTAGTGCCGGTATAACAAGTATGTATCGCTACACTCTATTTAATTTCTGGGGATTGGGAGTTTTCTACTTGCAGGGGTAGGGGGCAGTCTGGCTATTAAACAGGAATGGCCTTGAACTCCCAGAGATCCACATGCCCTGGCCTCCCACAAATAGAATTAAAGGTATGCACCCAGTTTAACTTTAAATATATTTTTAAACATTTATAGAATTGTTTCATGTAATCACATAGATAAAGGAAAGCACAAAACTCACTCCATATACTCCAAAGTGACATACAT